GTGTGCTTTTTCTAATTCGGTTTCTACTTTCTTTTACGGTTGCAGTTATCTACAACATTCAATTGTAATAACGTAGTTATTACATACGTACTTAGTTTATAATTTTAATATAAATATCGGGTGTTTAACAAAAGTGGCTAACAAAGCTTTTTTATTTTTTTCAGATAAAAAACGAGATTTGGTATGTTAGTATACAGGGTTGTTCACCACATACAACACGGAGTATTGTAGCTAAACGATTAAATTTTTACAAATTGTAAGTTTTGGGTTCGTTGAAGGATTATTAGAGCTACAATTTGAAAATATTTTTACAAGATACAGAGTGTCCCAAATAAGTTAAAAATATTATAGTTGTATTTTTTTAAATGGAACACCCTCTATGTTATTATATTTTTAGATTCTACGACTGAAATAAAGGGAAATTTGATTAAGGTATATTACACTCTCGATTACACTTAAACCTTAACGTTTTAAAAATATTTTCAATTTTATGAAATTGCAGTAAAAATTTTAAGGCTTCATTTCTCCAAGGGTATCGAAGTTTTTAATACTAAATAATTATTGATGTTTATTCATTGATCAGATATTGTGTTGCAATAATAAACAAAATACTACCTTATACAGGGTGTCTAAAAATTCATATTAAATAATTACTAGCTTTAAACGGCAATAACTTGTTTAATTTATATAGAACACCTTGTATATTTTACGAGAATCAGATTCACAATTTAATTGCCTATCAAATTGTATTATATCGTTTTTTATCTATCTCTTCAAGTTTTTGTAGAAGTAGCATTTTCTTATAATTTAGACCTCATTTATCACTATACCCATGGAATATTGACATTTTAGATTATTTTTAAAATGTAACAAATTTTCAAAGAGTAGCAGATACTAATATCGATTATAATTCGTTTATTTCATTAAAAAAAAATAAGAAAAACTGTTTAAATATTTGTTAAATAGCACCAATTAATATGATCCTAGTAAAACTACATTTATTGACTGTTTGTGACGTGGGTTAACAATAAATGCTCCAAATACTAAAAACCTGAATTTTGTATTTGTATTAGACAGTGTGGTAAAAGTAACATCTTATAAATTTTATTTCGTTTTTTGACGAATGCTGATTTATAACAACAGAGACGTTCATTTACATAACCTAGTATTGTATTGATTTCTGAGTCAAATCCACATTTATTTAGAATAATTTATTAATTAAAACAATTAAGTATGTAATTAACTAATTGTTAGGCGGAAATAATAGGCGGAGTATATTAATAATAGTAATAATTGATATACTCTTTTAGAAAGATTTAAATAGTTTTCTTTTTGCAAACAAATGGGCTTGCAATATTATTATTTTTACCATCTGTGCATTTTGTACATATGTTGCTTTAAAAAAAATCTAAAATGTCAATATTCCATGGATATAGTGATAAATGAGGTCTAAAATAGAACATAAAGCATTTTCTACTAAAACTTGAAGAGATAGGTAAAAAATGGTATAATACAATTTGATAGATAATTAAATTGTGCATCTGATTCACGTAAAATATACAGGGTGTTCCATTTAAATTAAAGAAATTATCGTCGTTTAAAGCTAGTAATTATTTAATATAACTTTTTGAACACTCTCTCTATAAGGTAGTATAATTTATATTATTGCAACATAATATAAATTAAACAAAAAAAACAAATATTTGGTATTAAACCTTTAATACCCTCGGAGAAATGAAGCCTTAAATTTTTTACTGCAATTTCACAAAATTGAACATATTTCAAAAACGGTAAGGTTTAAGTGCGATAAACCTTAATCAAATTTACCTTTATTTCAGTCATAGAATCTAAAAATAGAATAATATACAGGGTGTTCCGTTTAAAAAAATACAACTATACTATTTTTTACTTATTTGGGACACTCTGTATCATGTAATATTATTTTTAAAATGTAGCTCTAATAGTATTTCAACGAACCCAAAACTTACAATTTGTAAAAATCTAATCGTTTAGCTACAATACTCCGTGTCGTATGTGGTGAACAACCCTGTATATGACATGAATCGTCAACTGATTGACGTATTCAAATATTTTCGGTCAGTTCGTGTTTCACCGGAAATGTCTACAAGTTTTGATTTTTTAATGTTTCCCCAGTATTTTTTTACTTTATTTGATAGAAAATGACATTTCTAATAGAATGACATATCGTATGTAAAAATAGCATCTAGGGTGCCATGCAATGGCTATGTTAAAACCACTAATTTTTGATCAATGAGCCTTGGAAAAATACATTAAATCGTCTGACATTTTTCGTGTTTTTTCCTGACCGGTTAGAAGATAGGTACCCAAATCGTATTTATATTCATAACTCAATTTTTTCAAATGGAAGGAGCAGCATATTTGGAAAAAGCATTTTTTACTAATAATTTGGTATCACTTGGCTCAACTTTCGTTTAGCTGAAATCTGTTATATAAAAAATTACTTTATACTATATGCATTCTAGAAGGCATTAGGAGTACAAATATACAAAAATTTTACTGAGGCAAATGTGTCATTTTCATTTTTCGGACTTTAGTACAGCCGAAATCTGGTACATCAAAACTAGTCTTGGGGGTGTGTTTTAGACATTTTTTTAAACATAAAAACACAAAAAAGTGTCTGCGGAAATTTTTTATTTTTATTTTACATAAAAAAATGCTTTGACTTTAGAATAGCCGAAATCAGATACATGAAAAATGAACTTATATTTGTTTTATACGAGCCTTTACGAGCAAAGAAATACAACAAAATTCCTGGGGAAATGTGTCATTGTCATTTTGTGCACTTTGTTTTTCATATATTTTTCAGTTTAGAAGCTTACGGGACCCGGGAGCGAATAGGGGTGCTAGGTGGGGTAATAACAATTCTTGTAGAATAGACAATATGATAATATAGGTTCTGGTAAACTATAAGTACCTCGGAATTTTGCACTTATTCTTGTTTTTTTATTAAAGCTTTACGTAACTAGGGCTGATTCAAAACAAAAAATCATTGGATCGTGCAGTTTTCTTTTATATTTTAATAATTAACTGTGATTTTGCAAAAATATTAGATTGGTTAGCCTTTGGGTTGCTTTGGTTAGCTTTTCTTTGTGGAGGGTGTTAAGCTGTGGTTTTTATATTTTAATAATTAACTGTGAATTTTGCAAAAACATTATTAGATTGTTAGGATTTGGGTTGCTTCGGTTAGCTTTTCTTTGTGGAGGGTGTTAAGCTGTGGTTTTTATTATATATATTTAAAATCAAGCATTTCCGCAGGAAATTTCTTATTTTCCTGAGTTTGCAAAAGTTTCTAAAAGGCAAAAATATATTTATTTTTTATATAACTGATTTCAGCTATTCTAAAGTTTAATAAATTTCCTTAGAAAATGAAAACAGCTTACTTCCGCAGGAAAATTTTTGTGTTGTGTTCAGAAAAGTATTAAAAATAAAACGCAAAATGTATTTTTTTATAGCAGATTTCAGTTATTCTAAAGTGCGAAATTTGGAAATTACGCACTTCCGCAGGAAGATTTGTGTTTTCCGTGGTTCACAGTAGCTTTTTAAAGACAATTTTTTTTTCTAATAACTAATTTCAGTTAAACGAAAGTTGACCCTACCACATACTCGGTATTTCGAGTCAAATTTACAGTTTTGCTAAATTTATTGTCGTGACAATCTAGATTGAAATTTAAAATACTATTTTTTAAAGTGAAACTGTCAAAATTTGACATATCATATGTCATTCTATTAAGAATGTCATCTATCAAATAAAATTAAAAAATGACCGAAACGAATTGAATACTTCAATCAATAATCAATCCTGATTTATACCGGGTGCGTCTCAAAAGTGGCTAACACCTATAACTTTTTTATTTTTTCAGTTAAAAAAGCCAGATTTGTTATGTTAGTATATGACATAAATTAAGATTGATTGACGTATTCAATTGTTCTCGGTTACTTCCTGTTTCACCGGAAATGACTACAACTTTTGATTTTTAAATGGCCACCCTCGGTATTATTTTACTTTATTCGGTAGAAAATAACACTCTGAATAGAATGACATATCATATGTCAACTTTTGGCATTTTGGCATATGGTTTATTTGAAATTATAACTTGCTAGTGACGAATAACGAAAATTTGACTCGAAATACCAAGTGTGAAGTACCAAATTATTCGTAAAAATATGCTTTTTCCAAAAAATTTGCTAATGAGCCAACATCGTTCTATTTGAAAAAATTGAGACATGTTTAAGAATACGATTTAAGCACTTTCTAACTGGCCAGAACAAGACAATAAAAACATTAGACGATCAAATTTATTTTCCCAAGTCTCTTTGATTGAGAATTAGTGTTTTTAATATAGCTATGGCACTCTAGAATGAATTTTAAAATACGATTTTTTATTAAGCGAGAATGTCAAAAGTTGACATATTATGATATGTCATTCTATTCAGAATGCCATTTTCTACCTAATGAAGTAAAAACATACCGAGGGTGCCATTTAAAAATCAAAAGTTGTAGTCATTTCCGGTGAAACAGGAAGTGACCAAAAACAGTTAATTGAACAATCCTCATTTATGTCATATACTAACATACCAAATCTCCTTTTTTAACTCCTAATCATACACATCATTATAACATTTTTATGTTCCTGGCTCGGAACGCCAAATATGTTTCGCTGCTCAAGTAGTTGTAATAAATATAACCAAAATTTATGTTATTATATTATATTCTCCTCATTATAGCTTAATTATTTCTCTCTCATAACAAACTCACATACAAATACAAGAATCATATAAAATTCTGCCGTATTAAAGAAAGATGCTTTTTATGTTCAAGTGTCTTTATAAAAAAAAATATTTTCCAACTAAATAAA